GGCATGATGTATCGGAGTCATGGGTATTTGACAGGATGATAGCAACGCACGTGGCCTTCGGCCACGTGCTTTTGCTATCATCCTGCCGAATACCCATTTATTACCAGTGTTGAGGTCTAATAATTTATTCGAAATTGGTATTAAATGCCCTCAGAAGCATTGTTACACAAGATGTTTATTAAGAAAACGTAAATCTATTTTTAGAAAAAATTCATAGCAAAGACCCCATATGTAAATGTTCCAATATTCACGTAGACGTGCAAATAGTAACGTAGACGTTACTTTTGTAATGTAAACGTTCCTAAAGTTAAAAATGTATTTAAAACTGAATGTCTAAAGCAATAAATAATCATTCGTTCCATTTTCGATTAAATAAAAGTAAATGACCTTTTAAATTATCTTTTGAATTCGACTTATAACTTTAATAAACCTATCGAGATTCAATTCGACAGACTGAATTGACTTGTAACTTCGACTTGGTTTATTAAGATTCAAATTCTAATATATTTTAGGAATCAGATACTTAAATCCTACCCAGATTACATGACCAATCATTCCTTTCGTCATATACTATTGGTGCCAAATTGTCCTATTGTCTATATCGTTCAATCTGCTCTCTCATTCAACGGTTACTCATATCCAGCATAACTTTAAAACCAATTTTATTATATTAGATATTTCGCTTTATTTACGTCACTTAAATTTAAATGCATATAATTTTAGATACACCGACTAATTTATGCAAATAAGATGAAATTAATATTAAATATTTGTGAGCATGAATAGTTTATTTAAATTACTTATATTAATAAATATTCTTTCTACTCACTAATTGCAATGTTAAATGAAATTACATTCATGAACTTGAATAGCTCATTTTAAATATTTATATTAATCAATGTTATTTATACTTACAAACTAAATTATTGTGAATAAAATGAAATTAAAATAGTAGATATTTTATAAACTTGAATATCTTATTTTAAATACATAGATGAATAAATTTCTTTATACCCGCAAATTAAATTGAGTACAAATAAAATAATAAATATTCGTGAATTTGAATAGATACTTAGATTAATAAATGTTCTTTATACTCACCGATCGAAATAAAAATTAAATGGTAAACATTCATGAACTTGAATAGCTTATTTTAAATGCTTAGATTAATAAATGTTTTCTATACTCACTGCATTATGTTGAATGAAATTGTAAATATACATGAACTTGAAAGCTTACTTAGATTAATGAATGATTTCATGCTTACGGACTAGGCCAAAGTGAATAAAATGATTTTGAGTCATATTATTTAAAAATAAATAATTATAAACTATTTATTATTTTATTGATTATTTTATTGATATTATACTTAATCTTTTAAAAAAATTAAATAGTTTTAAGAACTTCTAATTTTGAAACGTAAAATTAAACAATATTAATGAATATTAATAAATAATTTACTTGGAAATCCACTCATCGAATTGTTATCACTCCGTTCACGCCAATTCCTTATCTATAATAAACGGCAATTTTAAAAATTCACATAGTATTGCCTGTCGCACATAATGCGCAAATGCTTTATGCTTATCGATTTCAACCCCAATTCCTAAATAATAAAAATAACCAACTTGATACATTCCATTAGAATTATTCATCTCTGCAGATCTTTGATAATAAATAAATGCTTGATTCTTATTCTTTTTCGCTCCAATTCCATGTCTATAAGAAGAAACAATATGTGTTAAATAGTAGTACGTTCATACATTTCGTGCATCAATACTTTGTGGAGAGAATGTTGTGCCGCTGCTTCAGACACATAATGTCGCACTTGATGAAATTTATCCGTTAAAATTAGATCTTGCGTCTAAAGTAGCAACACCCTATCAAAAATTATTGGAATTTCAAAAATCACATGATGCAACATGGTTTAGCAATACTCCAATATCGTCAGGGTTGGTAATGGAGCCAATGGAGCTCAAAAACTAGTATCCATTGGCCCCATTCGCAGTTCCGTTGAACTCCATTGCCAACAGTGAATATCGCACCAAAAGGGAAGGGAATGTTAAACTATGGAATATTTGTAAAACTGGCTGGACCTGTTAACTGCCTATCCGATACCCGTACGGTTAACCGTATATCCGGATATTATAAATGTCTCACGGATAGTACGTACGTACGTAACCATTATTTGTCACTTTTCGGATACGACGTCACGGGATTTATAACCAATCAAGTTCGTCGTCTATTTGTTGATTCTAGATTGGCGTGTTATTTTCAATCTCTACCGATTGAAAAACAGTATTAAACTTATTATACTACAGTCATCTCTTTAAACCAAACCTCTATATACTGAACTTTAAGTAATCGAACACGCTTGTTTTTTATTAGTTATTTAATAAAGTTCAATTCAGTAGAAATGATGTGGCAATATAGCAACAGTACAGAATATGGCATTCCAAGGCAGCATTGCAGGACGGCATATAACATTATTGCAATGATTTACGGTAATATGTTTTAGATTTACAGTATTTGATATATGTAATTAATTATGGCATATCCCATAGAGCCTAATTCGGTAATTACGATGGCTACTAAATATGCATGAGATTAGGTTAGTAAGTAAATTACAA